CCAGCTTTTATTTAGCAGCATGGTGAGTTTGGGAATCCCACCTGATACTCTTCCAAAAACACAATTTTCAGGAAGAAAGCAATAGCTGGAAGCTAAGTAGAACAAAACTATGCTTCAGATGAAAACATCCCAAAACATGATTTTGGTAGGCCAGGTAAGAGAAATTCAGCTGGGGAGGAGTTGCTGAAAAAATTCAATTCTTACAACATTCCTAAAACTTCCACTTACTAATGAAAAACCTGACAATGGAAGGACAAGAGGGAGGAGACCAACATGGCTTCTCAAAAGAGTGCATTCCAAAGCCTGGGAGCAACCACTGAGAAGGTCTGTCATCACCAAATCAGCCTCTGGAGGTGGTGGGACTGAGAGAATGGTCTCCCCAAAAGATCTCAAAAACTAAGGAGGCTCATATGCGGTGATATGATCCTTTAAATAGTCTGGATCCAAGTTGTACAGAGCTTTATAGGTCACAACCAGCAGTTTGAAGAAACTACTTGGATGGGTAGGAAAACGTTTCAACCTAATGAGAAAGAAGTCCAGTTGCCATAACTCAACATCCAGATAACCTCACCTGGATGACTAAGAATCTCTACAGATATATCAAGCTGTAGACCTGACTCTTCAGGGGGAATGTGCCCCTTCCAGTACAGGCTGAAACCCTATCACCATATCCCCCTTACAACTGACCATGAGCACCTCTGTCTTGTCTGGGTTAAGTTTCAGTTAATTTTATGCTCATCCATCCAGTTACTGATGACACTGGGCTAGTCCAGAACAACTTCCCCAAAATCAGATGGAGAAGAGTGAGTTGGGTGCCATCAGCATACTGATAACACTGAACACCAAAACTCCAGAAAACCTCTCCCAATGGTTTCATTAAATATGAAGGACAGAACTGAACCCTGGGTGACACCACAAACCACTGGCCAGTGTCAACCAGCATTCACTCTATACCCCCTTCTGAGTTCAGCTCTCTGAGAAGGATTAGAACCACTGTAAAACAGTATCTCCAAGACCCATCACAGAAAGATGGTCCAGAACAATACAATAGTTAATGGTATTGAAAGCTTCTGAGAGGTCCAGTAGGACCAATAGAGATATGCATTCCTCCTGTCCAGTTCCCAGCACAGATTATTCACAAAGATGACCAAAGCCATTTCCATTGCATAACTAGGCCTGAATCCAGAATGGCTCCACTCCATGGGAGGAAATGCTTAGGAGCAATTGTGTCCACCATTCTGGCCATTTCCCCATTCCAGAGATCAACAAAGGCTTTGTCATGATCAAGGTGGCCAAGGCAGAAGGAAACTCACCAGGAGCTGCCAGAAAATCATTTGGATCAATAGGCTTCCTTGGCAGACCATTTTAATTGATCCTCCATCCCACCGAGGTTTAGTATTCCACTAGTTAAAATCTAGAAATAATTTCCAACTAGAGTAGATCCATTCAATCAGAGGGGATTTAGTCAGTCAACACCTGTGTAAGTTTCAGTAATTCTATGGGTTTAGTTGCATCCTACTACTGGATTTCAGCCAATAAATCTAAATCCCACCAGACAGTGATCTGTTTCTGACAATGGAACTAATGAGCTTTGCCACATCCAGATCACTGAGTGCAGAAAACCAGGTCCAAGGTGTGCCTTGCAACATGAATGGGTTCTGTTACCACTAGGGGCAGGTCCATGGTTATCATGATAGACATTAAGTCCTGCACCACTCCTGACAAAACAGCCTCAGCATGGCTGTTAGTCCCTAACCACCATGCCAGAGGCAGCACAGCCATCTCAGGAAGAGAGACTGTTGTGCAGCAAGGTGGGCAAAAACCAGGTCCAAGGTGTGCCTTGCAACATGAATGGGTTCTGTTACCACTAGGGGCAGGTCCATGGTTATCATGATAGACATTAAGTCCTGCACCACTCCTGACAAAACAGCCTCAGCATGGCTGTTAGTCCCTAACCACCATGCCAGAGGCAGCACAGCCATCGCAGGAAGAGAGACTTTTGTGCAGCAAGGTGGGCAGGTAGACCAACAGAATCCCTGTTCTGTCCCAGGCACCCACTCTCAGGTATGCACAGATTGTGAGACAAGGCACCTAGTAATGGTGACTGGATTTTGATAGACTATTGCAATTCCTCCTCCCTGCCTCCCACCAGGTCTTGCCTGCTGCTGCACCGAGAACCTGGGTGGGGAAAGCTGATACTGTAAAGACTAAGTTCCCCAGCTTCCTCCAACCCAGTCTCTGTAACGCAAGCCAGATCAGCATGTTTGTCCAAGATAAAATCCTGGATGATAGCTGCCATACCTTTTACTGACCTGGCATTTAACAACAGCACCTTCCCAGCTATATAATGATCATTAAAAAAAAACACAGCTCCAGCCTATAGCTTATTTGCAGGGATAGAATGCAAAACAGATCCAATTAATGGTTTTTGCTACTCCTCCCATGTGAAACCAAATATACCTCAAGGAAATTGTCTCCTTCAATATGGAGATCCATTTATATGCACACAAATCATTTGGCCATCACAGAATTAAACAACTGCCTTAGCCAGTGACTCTAGGCTACATGGAAGGGCAGTGATTTATTAGTTATCACATTTATTACTGCTCTGTATTTACTGCCAGGGAAGGGGAGAAAAGTTTGTAGACTTTTTCTGCTGCAGACACAAAAAGAACTTGACCAGACTTGGGTACCAGTATGCACCTTCATGAGCAGAAGCACTTTTACTACACCAACTCATGTACCAAAACATATTTGGCTAAACCCTAAATGTACAGCACTGCCCTGTGACCCAAAGATGCAGACTGAAGTAATGGATTGAAACAGCAATTCTAGCTGCACCTTTATTGATCATACTAAAAGCCACACAATATATCTGAGACTGAATCAACTGAGGCAGAATTCCTGCCAACTAGTCATTGATCCAGCAACAAATCCAAGTCCCAAGGTGCAAACGCTTTCACAATAAAGCAGAGCTACAAGAAAACTTGGTTGCTACAATTCTTCGTATCAAACAGTTGCAGCGCTTTACAGATTTGCTCTCCAAAACCACATAATTCTGCATCCATTTACAATTTTCTGGGCATTCCCAACTAAATTCATTAACTCACAATATCTATCACAAAAAATTATAGTGCAATTTATGGCACAGCAGTAGTTAGGCTACATTGCATCAGACATCAGTCTGATAGTCCTGATAGGAATAAAACCATTTTAGTTCAGTTCAGACCTTATGACAAACCAGGCCAAAATCACAGTTTAGAACTCAAGCTATGGTTTAAGTTTTCAGAAGAATCAGGGAATCTATGCAGATCAGATCTGCTTTTCTACTTTTTTCTTTAGTAGTTGCTCACCACTTCATGTCTATTTGCTCTACCTGCAAAGCGTACCGTAACAGCGATATATATGGGTTGTAAATTCATACCAAAACATTCTGATGAACACAATCTTTTAAAGCCATGGATGAAAAGGTCCACTTAAAGCCATCACCTCCAATTTGGTTTACCAATTTAGACCTCATGCTAAAATCACACTTAAACTTCAGAAACCATGCTTGAGCTCAATTTAGACATTACACTTATGAGTGGTTGCCCCCTTACAATTTACAAATGCTTTAGTCCCTCTGCAACACTCCTCCTAAAATGCATCAGATTAATTAAAAAATAAAACCAAAATACTTCCATTTTACACAGAACCATAAAACAGATTTACCCAACTGTTCAGTTTTCCCAAATACCCCCTTCTATTATCACTGACTGGGCTGGGATGACAATAATTTAGAAATAAGGAGGTCTATGCAGCAGGTCTATGCAGCATGCCAAGCTGGGCAGCACTCAAACACTTAGCCTTTTCAAAGGCTATTAACATTACAGTAGCCCTGGGGGATTTAGATTCAGCCTGGCACACAAGCTTTCCCCCAAAATCAATTAGGAATAAAACCTCTTTAAGGATTCCCCATCAGCCTAAATTATTACAATTCCTCTCTTATATTACCACATTATACTAATGCTACGCTGTATCATACATAAAAGGAGGGAAAAGGGGAGATTCATCCAGTATACTCCAAGAAGATCTTGATACAGCATAAAAATTACAGTACTGAGAACCATCCGTTATGTCCCACCATATTTTACATCATTGCCTTTGAAAGTTTTCTGTCTCCAATAGAATGTCTGTCAGTCATTTTGCTCAGAGCATCTTAGTACTGAACATTTCAGTAGATTTTCCAAAACTTAATTTATTTTTATATTAGAAATTCAGTGTACCAGTATTCAAGCCACTTGTACTGTTCCATCTTTACTCCGAATTTTTATTTTTCCAGACAGGAAGCTGGTCTATTTGTCATCTGATGTGCTCTTCAGTCATGTTAGCTTTCTGGAGCTGACCACCCTAAATTAGTTTCACAAGTTTATCAATGTGGTTGCTGCAGCTACAGTGGTTACCAAGCCTACAAGAGAATACCTAAACACCTCTGTTCACAGAGATTGTTGTGATGTAATTATGTTGCTAACTATATTCTGAAAACAATGCAGAGACAGGACTTCAGAACAGGGAAGTTCTACAGTTCTGGATGAAGCAAATTTCTTGGAGTGTATTTCTTTACAACAAAGCATGTGCTCCCCATATGTCTTATTCTTGACATATAACTCTTTGGTCACCAGATTTGTAGCAGTAATTTTGATGAAGAGGAGACCACAAAATGGGACAGGAGAGCATATATGTATGTGGCCATACAGCCACTCTTGCTTTATATTACATTACTGTACAAATAGCAGAAAAACACCATACAAACCACTGCAACTTTTACAAGTAATCGAATCGATGAAAGGGGTCTTGCACCCAAAACTGGCTTAGAAATAACAAGCAAGACCAATGCTCCAGTCATTAACAAACTGGCTGCAGATCTGGCAAGCCATTCAGGTACTTTGAAGCAGATCTGTTTTGATACACATTTACAATGTCACTGATAAATAATGATCTTCTCAAAAATTACATCTTACCTGAACACAGCTGTTCAACTTTTGTATAGTTTAAAGCTACTATGTCGTTCACCCATGCAATGATGTCATGCCTGCTCATAGTCTCCTGGGTTATAGAGGTAGAATACACGTTGACCGCCATTCCCCAACTGCAAAATTAAGGAGATAGACAGAAGATTGGTATTTGACTTTGTGTGAATTAGAAGTTGACAGTCAATTATCTCTGTGCTAATAAGATACATCTGAAGGTCCACTGTACTCATTTTATGGCTATTTTTGAGATGGGGAAATCACTACAATATAAACCTTTCTTGCATTTTCAGGTTGTAAGAGATTTACTGAAGGGCTCTCACTGGTAACAACTTTGATAAGCATGGTGTGAAACATTCTGAAAACAGTTTTTTAGAATTTATTCATTTATAGAAATCTCCTAGATGTTTTTCCCTGATCACCTTATAACATAAAAAACTGAAAAAACAAATGAACCAGACCACTCTTTGAAAACTTTATAAGCTTTATTTTATGTATCTGTAAGCCCTATCTCTCCACCCCCATTTTTAGAAGAACTTGTATTTTAAAACATTTTTATATTGCAGTCCCTCCCAAAACAGCAGTGCACAGAACAAATAAAAGAGAATGATGCAAAAGGATATAGCGATCACCACAATACCAGATACTTTAAACAAAATTACACAATTTTAGAACTGTATATGGGCCATCCCTAACCTGGTGCCTGTTATATGCATTGCGTTACCACTCTCATCATTCCCAACCAGCATGACTGTTATACTGTATTTGCCAGCAAGATCAATAGTCTATACAGGGCCATTTTGTTCCTCCAATTAAAAAATCTCAGAAGGATGATGGGAGTGGTGATCTATTGAGTCCAAAAGTAGGCTGGAGAAAGTTGAACGAATGTATTTACTTCTACTGTATTTATCATGCACAACCAATGGTAAAGCCATCTCAAAGATGGTATCTCCCATTGTGAGTCAGCTTGGCTGTTACGATCACCAGGACAGGCCTTTTCCTTAGTCCCACCACCTTCATAGGTGTGTCTGATGGGGACACACAAGAGGGCCTTCTCTGTTGTTGCTCCCAGACTTTGGAGCTTCCTCCCACAGGAGGCCAGACTGGCTCCATCTTTGTTGTCCTTCCGCAAGCGGGCAAAGACCTTTCTCTTCGGGCAAGCTTTCCTTCAGTAACTAGTTACCTGTGTGTAATTTTTAAATGGATTGTTATGCACTACTGCTTTGACTGGATTTTAGTACTACTTGTGTTTTCCCATTCTCAGAGTAGCATTTTTAAACAATTTTGCATATTTATTGTTCTTAGCTTTAATATTGCCTTTCAATGATGTAGGATGCCTCTACATGCTACATGTAGATGCCTCTTTATACTCATTGTTCTTAGCTTTAAATACTATATTTTAATGAAGTTAACCACCATCCTATACTCATTTTTTTTTACTTTAAATACTATATTTCAATGTTGTAAGCTGCCTTGTGTCCTTTTCAAAAAGAAAGATGGGGTAAAAATATTTTAAATTAAAAAATAATATGTGATAGGCATAGCTTAGGTCTTAGAGTGCAGATAGATTTTCATTTGCAGACCAGATCTGCATCCCATACATCAGTGGTTCCCAGCCTTGAGTAACCCAGTTGTTCTTGAACTGTAGCTCCCAGGCCAGCACAGCTAGTGGTGAAGGTTCTTGGAATTGCAGTCCAAGAACACCTGGGTTACCCAAGATTTGGAACCACTGCCACAGAGGAATCCACCAACCAAATGCATCACAGTGAGTCTGGTATACTTGGGAACTGGATTTGTATGGCTACAGTTAATTTGGAAGTTCTGAAAATACTAGCATCTAAGGAGAAGCTCGAAAAGCAGCATAGAAAAGTATACAATTATTACTATACACAAATGCAAAAATAAGTGTTCTTGGTCAAGCATAAGTAGTAATACAGAATGGCACGAAATACATTCACTATATGCTAGCAGGAATCCACCAACCAAATGCATCACAGTGAATGTAGTAATACAGAATGGCACGAAATACAGTCACTATATGCTAGCGTTTGACTTCAGAGAAAAAGAATGAGAAATATTTTTAATAGGGTGCAGTGAAGCAGCTATTGTTTTTCTAAATCCATTGAGTCTCTTTGTGGATTTTACTGCAGAGAAATGATCCTACAGGAACTCCTTAAGATCATTACTTGGGAACTGGATTTGTATGGCTACAGTTAATTTGGAAGTTCTGAAAATACTAGCATCTAAGGAGAAGCTCGAAAAGCAGCATAGAAAAGTATACAATTATTACTATACACAAATGCAAAAATAAGTGTTCTTGGTCAAGCATAAGTAGTAATACAGAATGGCACGAAATACATTCACTATATGCTAGCATTTGACTTCAGAGAAAAAGAATGAGAAATATTTTTAATAGGGTACAGCGAAGCAGCTATTGTTTTTCTAAATCCATTCTTTGTGGATTTTACTGCAGAGAAATGGTCCTACAGGAACTCCTTAAGATCATATACATATAATAGGACCAGAACAAGAGTTTGTAAGAGGACACAAACTGATTCAAATCATATATTTGAGAAGAAAGAAAACCCTTATTACAGGTATAATTAAGTTGAAATCCTCTAACATAAATCACCAGTAATTAAAGGTTCCCTTTAGCAATTTTGGGGTGCATGTGACTTTGTTTCATAGTGTATGAAGCTCATGTACCCCCTGTAACCACCTTTAATCAGCAGTTATTTGCTGCTATTGCAGCCGACATTATCAGCCCTGAGCATGCAGAGCTGCACAATAGAATTTCAGCCTTCGTGTCCATGAATACAACATTGCATATTTGTAAGCTGATGTTTCACATATTTTAGACAGAAAGAAACTCGGCTCTTGTGTTCTCTCCTGTAAAATTCTTCACACCACTGCTTCCACACACTGCAGACCTAAAACAACACTGTAGTATAGAGATTTACTGGCAACAAATAATACATTCAAAATGATAAAGAGATCCCAAATGCTGTTCTGCCATAGAAAAGCTGACAACCAACTATCAAGATTTAACAAGTGTTTTACATCATAAAACAAAACATTACCCTTGACCCTTATCATCTGTTCAGTCTTGAACACGTACTACTACCCATTGTCTGTCTTTTAAAAAAAAAGTAATGCAGCAATTCTGCCTGCAGGACAGGTATTTTTATGGGCAAGTAAGTGGAGATTTAACAAGTGTTTTACATCATAAAACAAAACATTACCCTTGACCCTTATCATCTGTTCAGTCTTGAACACGTACTACTACCCATTGTCTGTCTTTTAAAAAAAAAGTAATGCAGCAATTCTGCCTGCAGGACAGGTATTTTTATGTGCAAGTGTTGTCAGTGACAGGAATTATAGACAGCAAGCAACACGAAACATACATATGAATAATATACATTGATATGGTTTCACAAAATAAAGGAAATTAAAGTGCTTCTTATGAAAGAATGTAGATCAATACACATGACAAATCAGAATAATTAAAATTTGCATACTTCTTCAAATTAGGCAACATACATGCTGATGTAACTACTGCTATGCTCTATTAATTAACTATATTGGCTCAAGGCTAACATCAGATATTAGAAGAATGGAGACAAAATGAGCACACTGCTTGTTTCCATTTTCAGCCTCCTGAATCTGACTGGGCTTTTCTTATCTATCAACACAGCATTTGGAAACAAACGGGGTCCCCTCAATTTCCCATGTCGGTTCCTCTCAATTCTGAGGTCTGAGTCTCACCCTTTCAGTCTGGCATGGCTCATAAAAAGAATTTATTCTTTCAACCCTGCAATATGAGCCTTCCTAGGCTTTTGCCTTTGTGTACTGCTTTCAGTGCATAACATTCTTATCCTGTAGTTTCATGACAGCTAGTAGGAGGTCTGTTAATGCGGGGTGGGGGGAGCCGGTGGAGACTGACTGGCTTTCAGTCACCAATCTGTCCCAATTTGTGGGGTCAGTAATGAGAGACAGAACACAGCTCTGTCACAACAGATTAGTGAGAGAAAACATGAGGAGCCCTGTGACGACTGGTATAACTAGGGCTCAGCTGACTGTTACCTGTGCTTTGGGAACTAGTCTGGAAGAAGGCAACTTGCCTGTACATGGGCATGTGTGTATGTACCAATTATTCTAGTAATAAATATTGGACTGTTCAAATTCTAAACCTATTCCTCATTCACTGTTAATTATTCCAGTACATTTTTTTCAAAGATAAAACTCAAATACTGTATATTACAACCTATTATCCCCTATGATGGAGGGTTTTTATCAGAACTCTGTAAACGTTAAGAGATCTCAGGTTTGCTGTTCTTCACATTAAAAAAAACCCCAACTCTCTTTTAATCGCCGCACCATACTTGAGAATCTATTAAGAAAAAGACCTAAAGCTGTTATAGCCTTTCGCTCTATCTGGTACATATTCAGACACCTCAGGACACTCAGCTTTATCTGTTCGACTTTATAAGATGGACGTTCCTTTGTGTTGTGCCTTTTCTTACTTCAGTTGCATTTAACATTGCACTTTGTTTAAACAGTGACCACATCTGTCATTAATATCCTATTTCCTTCCTGGGCTTAGGGTCAGGTTCAAATGATTATGAGCAGTGCAAGGAATCAGATTTCAGCAGGAGGCCCAGGTTCAAAAGCTGCTTCATCAATGAAGTTCTCTCACTATTAGTCACCGGTCTCTCACTCAGACAAGGCTGTAATACATATAAAGGTAAACTAAAGAGTAACCCTTTGTGATCTCTTAGGATAGTGGTCTGGAACAGAACATTGTGCCTTAAAGAATCTCAGGTTTATTGTACTTCTCATTTGTTTGTGTGTGTGTGTGTGTGTACTGCCTTTCAGTGGAGCTACCTGTACAGCTTAAAATACATACCTATAAATAACATCACTACATTCAAAGAGAGAGAGAAAATAAACTAAATATATTTTGACAGTGGCATCTCATAAAAACCTGAGATCAACAGGGTTCAATTTAACAGATCTCCTCTGAGTTCTCCAACTCCACTATAACAAGCTCACTCCATAAACTAACTGATTATGTGCCACTGAGTCTGACTTATGGCAATCCTTCTTGGGGTTTTCTATA